CCTAAAATCTTTAGTAACTTGCATCATCCCCCATTCGCAGTGTCAGCAAGAGTTTAAGAACTACAATATCAAGGCTATCATGCAGACAGCCCAATTTTGTGTAGCTCCCAACAAGTATGTAAGTATCAAGAGTGTGAATTCACATACGTCTAGTTGGAAAGTTTCTCTATAATTATTCAATAATTTTAGACATTGTCCAAAGGAGAACCACTAGTTAAAAAATATAGAAACAAGACTATACTTATTGGACTAGCAACTAATGTTAAACATATTTTCACTAACATCTCATCGTATGTCATTTGGATTGAAAGTAAAATTAATAAAATTCCAGCTCTCAAAGATCCAATTCGTGGTAAGACCTTACTCCTCTAATTATTCCAATAAAAATGCCAAATAAAATTCAAACATAACATTTTTGTTGTAATGGAAAATGATACTGAAATTATATTTTACTCCACTTCTATTCCACTTGGAAATATTCGGTAATCATACATTTTTCACTCTCCTTAGTAATAATAATAGACAGCTTACAGTTGTATAAAAAAAAAAATTTGGGTTAACCAAGTAGCTAATTTGAACACATTTTTTTTCTTCAAATTTTGTTGTGACAGCATTTCTATTTAATTAAAGAGCACAATACTTGTTTTCAAGCCATCATAGAGCATAAGAAAAATTAAAAAATGTTTTTCTTTCAAGTGCTTTATTTGAAGTTATCTATGTTCCCACTGCAACTTTGAGATGCCTATTTTTTTTCCTTGATTTTTTTATAAAAACATAATAAGTACAGTTGGAAGATTAATAAAATTTTATTTTAAATAAGCTCCCAAAGTTCGACGAGGTTTCGCTGAGTCAGAACGATTGCCATACCACGCAGCTATCGTGCGATTTATGAATAATAAAGTGACTCACCTCAGATGCAGTGGAGCACTCATTAAAGAAAACTACGTTTTAGCACCTGCCTTTTGTAAAACGAAGAAATTGCAGAATTACCGAGTTGCATTTAAGGTTTTAGATTTCCCTTCCCTGGCAGATTCAAAATATGTTGCCATCAATCAATTTATCACGCACGAATTGTATAAATCAAAGTAAGACATTTTCTAGCAATAAAGTTTTTGATTTTCTATTAAATCGAGGTATAATTTGACATTGTCAACATTTCTTCAGTGAACCATTGAATGAATATAATATAGCTGTCGTGCAATTGAAAGGAAAAGTAAAGCTCGACGAGTTCATAAATGTGATAAATTTACCTGTGTACAATGAAATCATGGATAGAAATGGAGATATGACAGTAATTTATTACACGTACCTAAATTCAAATAATCACAGTCGATTCTTGGCACTCTGGTTGGATCCAGCTAACTTTTTTTACAAGCTTTGTGAAAAGAAAGACGCATTATATGCGTCGATATTTTGTGTAAGGAAGGATTACCGAAGGAAAAGCAAAGCAAGTATTAAAAGTGTGAATTTGAATTTTCAAGTTTAGCTGGGAAAATTTTTTACAAAAATTTTTGTTTTCTCAGTCTCCTTCCAATACAATATTGGCTCGAAAGAATGGCAATACGATTGTTTTGATAGGATTATCTAATAAAAGTCAAGACATTTACACAAAGATTTCTTCGCATATTAGTTGGATCGAAAAAAAAATTGGTGGAGGTGCAAAAGTAACTCGTCCGAAATATAGTAAGTTTTTAGTTATTTCAATCGCATAATATATGCATAAAATTTTAAAATATCAAATAGATTTTAATGACTCTCTTAAGTATTCCTACAATGAGGGTAGTAACTTGGCTATCGATGACCTCACAATTGTTGTCCGAGTTAAGAACAATTTTTTTTAGCTCATTGCATGTAGTAATTAACTTGTCATACACAATTTTTTTTTTTACTTATATTTCCTGCATGCAAGGGGTAAAAAAATTTGATTCTTGACAGCAATACTATTATATCAAGTAATAGAAAATAAATTGATTTTTTTCAAGATACAAAAGTACACGTAGGGATTAACCATGGACAGAGAAGCGAGTATCCGTTGGTTGGAGGTGTTTTTAAATTATCTGATGACAGTTCAGTTGAACTTTTATGTGCTGGTGTCCTCATCAGTGATTGGTATGCCGTAACGAGTGCAAGTTGCGTATTTAACAAGGCTAAATACTTCATTCGTCTTGTTGGTGCTGAATACGATTCCACCAATTACCCCAAAGTAGATAATATCACAGTCAGTGAAATCTTCATCCACGAACAATATAATCCAAGGTGAGATATTTGTTTGCATTAAAATATACAATAAAATAAGTTAAAATTTTGAATTGTATTCATTTTTACAGTAGTTCATTGATTGACGAGCATGACATGAGTGTCATACGATTAGGACGAAGTATCGGTTTGAATAACGTACGATTTATTCGACACGTATTGCCCTTAGCCAATAGAAATATTATTACAACATGGAATCATACTCTAGTCCGTTATGTAAATAACAAATCATTGGATTACCCACTGAAATCAGACAGGACTAGTATTGGCAATAGCACTTTTTGCGAGCATATTTTACAACAATATAATAAAAATGCTACACTGTGTAAATCGCAATTTTGTATTACTGGTGTCAGTTATGGAAACAATTCTTTAGTAACTAATACATATCAGTCCAATATACTTGTAGTTGGGACAATATATTAACAATTTTCCAATGCTTTGCAGGACACATACGGCTCACTTGTATTTCAAGGTCGTTGCGACAAGCATCTTCCTTACTGTAGTGCTGTGTTAATTGGACTTTCAACAAAAAACAAGGGCGTTTTCACTCAGGTTTCATTGTATACAACGTGGGTTTTAAGTAAAATAAATACGTCATATGATACGTCACATAATTAAAATGTATGCTTTGGAGGATAGTGTTAACTCATCGACTGAAATCGGTTTGAAAAGCCAGAACTGTAAAGATTGAACTGTTAATTTTCATTGTCTTGACTTTGTTTATTGAACAGACAAATTTTAAGTTTCGACACGAATAGTAGTCTCTACAAAAAATGTTACATTTTAATAATTCAGCAATAAATCAGCCTAATAATTTTTAAACATCCATTTGATTTCTTTTATCCCCATAAATCTGTTTTTTAAACGAAGGATTTCTACAATTAATGAAATGAATTCGTGTGTTATATTTATGAGTTTAGGAATGTGTGTTATATTTATGAGTTTCTACAATTAATGAAATGAAATTTTTTACCCAAAAAAATTTTCATATTATATTAAACATTAGGAAAACATTTTCCAAAATAAAATGGTGAGGTGTACGAATCACTCTTAATTTTAAAAGCAGATTATGTCGAAGCTTGACAAATATTGATAAATAGACGAAGCACGATTTCCATCATGCCTACATTTTCTTATCATTTAATAAATTGTAAAGTGAATAATTTAGCAATAGGCTTGTTATCAATTGGTAAAATTGTTATTTTTAATACAATGCTCGCTAATGTTGAATTATTACTCTATTGATTAATTCTCTATTTCAACCCACAATCTAGAACACTTTTAATTTAATTTGATGCATTACTCAAATTCTAGTGATTCTAATTTTGTTCAGTCCAACTATTTGAAATTGTTAACCTTTTTAAACTCTTAAAATATAAAATATCCTACTGTATTTCTTATTGTCATGGTTAGATTTAAGAATGGTGAAGAATAAGTGATTTTTACTTCACCACGACAAATCCCTCACTGATCCATTCACATTATGCAAAATTACAGAAAAATTCAAGAAAAAAGGACATGAAAAGAAAAAAAAAAAAAATGAGTATTGTTTACACGAATTAAAATTGCAGAGCATTAGCACTGTCATTATTTACAAACGTACCACTTAAAATTCACTCAAGAAAGACACATAAAAAACTTTTTTTCTTGTGCAAACCATGGATTAGGGTTAACAGTTAACGGCAAGAGAGCAAAAAAAAAAAAAAAAGAAAAAAAAAAGAAATAATAATAGCGGCCTGGGAGAGCTGGGTACCCAACAAGGAAAACTATAGACAGGGGAGTTGTAGGCATGATCTCCTCTCCTTCTCAGAAAGGAACGAACGGATGACCGGTGGGTGGACGGGCGTTGGGATAACTTTTCGTTACGCATCAGTACCGCGTTAGATGAGCAGGGCTCCTTTTTCTTCGGCTTCTCTCCGATCCAGCGATTTCCGTGGATATTATGCGCTATATAAACTAATCCATCGGCTGGCCAGAGCGCGCAGTTCTTCTTTCCTCGTCTCACGGGACGTTTCTATGCTACACGTACCAGTGATACACTCCTTTCATCGATCCTGCGTGAATTACCTTTTTGTCATAAATATTGATTTTTACCTGCAGCCGCATGATTGTTGAATATGGTGCTGTAAAACAAGTACTTGGTGATTGTGCGTGGAGTTGAATATTGGAGTTGGGCAGTGAAATGGATTATTACCGATGGGTTCGTTGTAACACAGACATTGCTGTGCTATGCAGAAATGATAGAATTCTCATGAGTTAAGATGATGCTGATAGTTTTTGCTTGCTTGGCATTACTAGCTCCGATACCAGTGAATTCCGATCAGAGAATTCAGGATTCGAGATTGAACAGAAATTCGTCAAAAATTGAGTTATACATTATTCGTACCTTCGACTGGATTGGGAATAGAGCTCTTGAAGTAATAGATGAATTCATTCTTGACGAGAAAAATGGGCGATCACGTTTCGTCGAAGGTAAGTGTCAAGTTCACAATTCGTATAAAGTGGTGTTTGATACTCCCTCATTCATTTTATGAATTCAGGAGTTTGATATACATAATTCGATGAATTCTAGCTTTAGATATGTTTAAATTTTTTAATAATTTTTCAAGAAATTTTTGCTAATCTTTGCAAAAAATAAATATTGCGGTCAACAAATCGACTGTATAAATGAAGACCATCAAATTTTCCCAAGTCTTATTTTACTCGGTAAAAGTAACTATTCCTTAAATTTTCACGAGTATTTAGATCCATTCATTGATTTTACGGTTCATACGTAACAGTACTGCGTTGTGCACTATTTCTTCCTAATGTAGCAGAAAATTTTTTGACCGTTAAGTAACACCTTTTTCTTGTTAGACTAGAAATACGTATTTTAGTTAGTTTGTTATTTTTATAAAACTAAGAAAATGTACATAGACTGGTTTAACTTGACTCTTTCACTAAGTAAATTAATTTTTGTTAATAAACAGGTCGAAAGCACAAATATAAGAAGATAAAGTTGGGAAAATACATTTTTCCTCTTCTGATCGGAATTTTCTTGGTAAAATCAATGATGATACCATTGATACTCAAAGCTTTAGCCATTCTCAGTGGTAAAGCTGTTTTACTGAGCTTTTTGAGCCTTATTCTGTCGGCCATCATTGGCTTGAAACAGATGTCTATGAGCCACCAACACGAAGCGCACAAAAAAGTTGACCTAGTGCCTTTGACCAAATACAGGAGAAAAGACTATGCCAATGAAGAGGAGCCCATGGATGAGGGACCGTACGTATATTACGCGGAAAAACAAAATAAGCGGAAGAGATAAGGAAAAATCACATTTGTAATAAAAAAAATTATATAATTGTAACTAAACTACCTTTATTAAAACCACTTCAAAATTTTGGTTTTTCTATTAATCCACCATACCATAGCCTATCGCTAAAAAAGAGATAACTACTCAGCTCTCACGATACAAAAAGGTAAGTTGAACTTAGAAAATTGAAAGAAAAATTCATTCACTTGGTTCAATATACAAAAGGCTTAACTGAATCCCTTACTAAATCTGAAGAGATAATTTAGATTATGAAGGGGACTCTCTGCTAACTTTATTATTAATAATATTATTTCCAAATAAAACTCTTTCAATTCACAAAAAAATAAACCTTTTTTTGAGTGATAAGGCAAATGTATTCTTTACATTTTTCGAGACAAGTTGATCTCCCTTAAATCTCGAGAACTAAGTCAGTTCATCGTATTTCCAACAAAATTAAGTACAAGGTTGAATAAGGTTTATGATTTAAATTTTACTAAAATTAATTGCTGTTTTAAAATCTTTTAATTGTAATGAGAACAAAGTTATCCTTTTTTTGAATTGCATTTCTTTTATAAAAACATTGTTTGATGTAATAATAAAGTTTGTTTCCATCATGTCTTGACGTATGCACATCATTAAAGAAAGTAAGTTCTGTTTTTAATTAAACTGCAAAAGAATTACTAGATACGTGGTGATCGATCCAATAATCTATGAATATTTTAAATTATTATTTAAAAAAAGGTATAAACAAATACATGTTTACCAAATTTTTGTAAATAAAAGTACTTACCGACATTAAAAGTGACCCATCAAGTGTGAAAAAGTTGGACACACCAAAGTGTAAGGTTTTGTGATTCAAATAGTTTAAAAATTTATTTAACTGATCAATAACTTGAGGATTGTGTAGATTCACCATACCTTCGGCTATTATTTCTCCAGTTTTTTTACTCTGTATGTACAGTTTACATGAAGAATAATAAAAAGTTATTCGTCATAAATTAGAAATGTATAAAAATGTATTACCTCAACAGCTGTACTGTTAGCGATTTTCGTCAAGACGACTAATGATACTGTTGAGGAAATAATTTGAACGAAACAGTATACAAGAATCGTAGCTGGTAACGTAGTACTGCCTATTATAACAGGTTTTATAAAGTAATAAGTATACATTGTCAACGTAAGAAAAGTATTGGCTGCATACACGAGCATTGCTGGTGAGAAGACACACGACAGTTCGTGGGCTACTTTGTATACAGAGATGTAATTGCTACGTAACCACGACAGTTTATTTAGTCTAGTTTGCATTACGTAGATTTGGCCAGTTTTTTCAATTTCAAGGAGCAAATCGGAGTTACTTGCCTCAAATAGTCGAAATATGAGCTTCAAAGCAAGACTATACTGTACGACAAGAAATTTTATGACAATTTCGCTGAAGCAAACCACTATTATATAAACAATCCGGTTGGACAAGTCTTGTAAACAGATAAATAATGTTAACAACCATATTTCTATCATTGCTGCGTTGATTAAAACTAGTTTTTTAACATCGTAAAACCACATTTTTATGGCTTTCCGGTTGAAAATCGATGATCCATCGATTAGATAGCCGCTAAGGTGGTTACCGATATCGATGAGATTATTTTGGCGAATACAGAACAAACTTAACATTAAAAATACTGTTAAAATCATGACACAAGTATATACAGTTTCAATAAATCTGTCTATTCGGTGTCTACTCTCGTAATCTCCGTTGTACGTAGTTTTAACTATACAGTACGACGATATGGTTATCAAGCTGATTAAAAAAATGTTGTACAATACACCGATTTTAGAATAAACGAACAATGGGTGATTTTTGATAATATTAAAGTCACAGTTCATTGGAGCTATTCCAAAAATTTTGAAAAAGTAAAAAATTAATTTGAAAAACAAAGAACAACGGTGATTATTCATGACTATTTTCATGGTTCTTAAGATATATATTTAGAGAGTCGTAACAGGCAATGCTGTAAAAAACGTACTGTCGTAGTTTCATTTGAAATTAAATGATAATGGAAAAAATTACATTAGAATAATTATTTTACCCTTACATCTTATTTATTTTCAATAATAACTCATCCAAGGTAAGATCTTTCAATTTTAGTTATAATTTTTATTGCTTGCATTGAATGTCAATACTATGATTAAATATGTGCGATCACTTCACTGCTTTCTTTTTTCATTCAACAATGTTGGTCATGATCATTTTGTAAATTGAAAAATGAAAGACACACTTGCATGACTAATAGCTGATAGAATTACTTTTTCATTGATGTTATCGGGGATTGAGTAAATTATGTGTTAAGAATTAATGGAATGCATAGTATGCATAATTTGATAATAAATCGATGCGTGATAACCATCATGGATTGATCGTTTGTTTTGTGACATTTATGAAGCGACGAAGCTTGATTAAACTTATAATACTCCTGCATACTAAAAGTTTCAGTAGAAATTAAAAAAAATAAGGTATACAGAATAATAATCTTTCATACTCTTGTATTCCATTTCGTTTTTGATGATTACTTTTCTAACGCAAAATATTTTAACTACAGTTATTAGTGTCATTCCTTATCAGCTGATTGCAACAGTATGATTAAATACGTAACGATTGACCCAGTAATCTAAATTAAATTCAAGTATAACGTTAAACATTTTATTACATCTATTGAGACCATATTAAATATCGTGTATATGCACATACCGACATTAACAATTTTTTATCCAAAGAAAATAAATCACATACGGTAAATCGTATTTTTTTATGAATAACATAGTTTAAAAAGCATTTCAGCTGTAAAAATAAAACCAAATTAATTACTATTTTCTTTTCAAGAATCTGTAGAACTTCAATACTTTTACCATATGATTGATAAGTTGTAAATGACTAAAATTTCTCATATTTTCACAAATAATTTCAGCAGTTCTCTTGCTCTGAAAAAAAAAATTAAATGTAACATTTCATTAAAATAAAAAACTGTTTTTAATGAATGAAGTTTTACTTCTACGACGGCATCACCTGCAGTCTTTGCTATGATGATCAAGAGAAATCCTGAACAGATTAGTTGAACACCACAATTTACAAGAACTATGGTCGGTAAATCATTATGCCTTACAATGACGGGTTTAACCAGATAATACAAAGAAAGTATACAAGTAAGAAAAGAAGAAATAATGCAAACGAGTATAAGAGGTGAATAAAAGCTTGACAGATCTTGCGATAATTTTCCCGCGAAAATATATCGTTCTTGTAAATTATTGACTCTGAATTGGATTTTGCTGTTTACAGAAACGTTCGGTTTGACGAGCATTAGCAAATCCATATTAATACACTCAAATAATCTCTGAATTAATTTCAGAACAAGACTGTACTGTATCGCGACAAAATTGATAACAAAGTTGCTAATACTTAAGGCAATAAAGTACTCTAGGTACATAGACCAAATAACGGGCATTGTTGCAATCCATATTACCATTAAAAATAAATTTATGGAAAAAATTTTTTTTACATCGTGCATCCAATACTCAAACATGTTAATACCTCGAATCGAGAACCAGACTCTGATATCGCCAAACGTGTTACCGATCTCCAAAAACGTTCTCTGGTAAACACTATATACAACCAAGATAAACACAGCTGAGTAGGCTAATATGATTTGGTAGACGGAATCGTTCAGTCTCTCAGAGTAGTACCTATCGTTTATGGCGTAAAAATAGTTTACTTGCATAATCAAGTACGAGCTGATGGTTATGATAATGATTAGTAGTATGTTGTAAATTATACCAAATTTAGAGTACGTGAATGGTCTATTAGAAACATTTTTGCTTTTTCCAATTTGATTGAAATCGCAATTCATTGGTATCGTACCGAGACTTTTAAAAATATAGAAAAGACATACTTCGTAACGGAATTTCACCATAGTTACAAATTTTTACGAGGTTTCAAGCACCAAAAGTGATCCACGAAGATCGTAGTAAATTATTTTTTTAGAGTATGACGCAAACAGTAACGTATATAAAATTAAAATATGTATTTTTTAAAAGTTACTTATGTGCATCTGGATTTAGAATAATAAAATATTTTACGACTGTTCGACACATCCACACATTACATAGATAGATCTTTAATGTTTTTAACCAAGTCAAAAGTATAGAAACATGCTAACTTTATTGCGTCAACCTTCTACCACTGATTTTTTTTAAATGCAAAGTACATCAACAACCCGTTGAAAAAATTAGTATCTTTTTCATGCTCTTTACCTTAGATCTTCTGAATACTCAATTTATTCATTAGTGGCTCAAGTAATTTATTGGAACGGAATTTTGTAATAAATGAAATAGTTTCTTATGACTGCGCGATGTCATTAGGTAAGAGCGTATATATAAAGACGTATGAGTTTTATGAATAAGACATACTATTATGAGAAATTAAATAAAGAAAAGTACAGTTTATTTGTAGTAAGATAATTTTCTAACTTCTGTGAGAAATTTTTGTACACTTTTTCTTCGAAAGTTCTAAAGATTGAGTAATTGAGTGTGAATTACTGTGAAAAAAAAAAAAAAAAAAAAAAAAAACTCATAAATGATGACCCATTTCTAATAGTAAAAATGTAGTAAAGAAAAAAAATAGTTCCTTAAAATGGGCTTTGGAGTGTCTTTGGAGCACATTCTTCGAGGCCAACGGCCTACATTCTTTGTCCAGAAGCCGGGTCAAAAATCAGTCACATAGGAACACAATTTACAATATCGGTACTACCGAAATAAATCCCCACCAATGCTCCACAAATGCTCGAAGTAACTACGAAAAGAAGATAAAAAATAGTTTAGTATTTTTCCTAACTGAACCACTTCAATGGCAATAAAATTTATAACTGCAGTAACTATTGATTCAGTTACATTAATTGGAGTGTTTATGGTAATTCACAATATACATAGAGAAAATTTAATTAAGAAAAAAATTAAGGTAACAGTCAAACAAATAAAATAAAATACAGGAAGGTATATGAACATAACTCACTTGTCCTGTTTCTCTTTTCGTTGGATGACGTGAGTCGTTGTTGTATTTGGGTTCACGAGAAATGACAATAGCACTATAATCCATTTGTTCACATGCAAATGCGAAAGAGAAGTGTATTGTGCGTGAAGAGATGTACGTAGTCATACATTTTCGCGATTGGTCGCGTGGCTCCGTATTATCGGTCGGCAATTTCTCTAATTAGCACGTGCTAGTTTTCTCTCAGGTACATGCATGTATTGGCACGTCAACTGTGTTAACGTGTGCATGTGTAATACTACGCATGTTAACTAGTATACGCCCATCTTACCCTTTCTCTCTCTCTCTCTCTTTTATCGTCGACTATTTTTTTCGAGACACTTTCTATTATCGTAAATTTATTTTTTCTGATAATGCCTAGTTACATTTTTTAACTACCATTTTTTGAAATGAACCTATTTTTATCAAGAAATATTGTAATTTTTTTATATTTAGTTTTATTACGTTATCAAACTCGAACCCTTACTAATATCGATCAATGAACGAATTACTTTAGTAGTTAATGTTAATAAAACTCATCAACTGTTGAGCTGCTATTGCAAAATTCACCAGATAGTTTACAACTGTCTTTTGTAATTTATCATGCACAGTCTAAAAAAAACCAACATTTATTTGTTTATTTATTTGCGCCAACTACCAATAAACTCATACATCTCATTCATGACTTTTTATCGTATTATCCCCGTATAGTATATACCCACAAATTACAACTATGCCAATTGCGCAAATGATAACACAGTTGCCATTTGCAAAGTTGTCGTTAAATAACAACAGTAGTTGTCAAAAAATAAGACCAATGTGAAAATATTGAAACTTTTCACTGTAATACCATCTCAAATTTTTTTTGTGACTTTCAATATGTGAAATATCAATGACAAAGACTATCGACGTGAATCGTATAAAATAGTCAATCACAGTTTTGGTAAATTACAATGAAAACAATAGTACTTCTATTGTACTGAACTAATTGTGGATTGAATTAATTGTGTCAAAATAAAATTTGCTGTTATTGTCTTACAGTCAAAATTATGAATATTAAAAAAATAAATTTTTTCCATTTTCTGTTAAAACGTATTTTTAAGTACTTTTCGTAAAAGTGTAATCAAGGTATTTATGCCAAAAAAAATTGAGGTTTCACTATACGTTCCCGCACAACTTTCCATTTCCATGCGAAGCTGGTGGGATACCTCAGACGCTCCGAGAATTTCAATAACCAACAGCCTTTCTTCAAAAAAAAAGAGAGAGAGAGACCAGAGCAAAGTTGAAAAAAGAGTACACAACAAAGAGGCCCAAGACCAGAAAGTACGAATATTCCAAAAACGAGCAGAAGAGTACCGTTAAAAAAAGGACCGACTAATGAGATGTTAAATATTTGAAGAGTATTATCGTCCAAGAGGTGGGGGAAGACAATGAGATCGGGTGCCCCAGGCTTGTACTAGGAGCTGTAGTGTTGGAGCTGATCTCAAGTAGCCAAACTCCAAATAGAAAGTGTACATACTATTACGATCTCTGGCATTTGATGAGTTATTTCGTCATGTTATATGTTAATAAAAAAAAAATAAGTTGCTGTCCAGTGATGTGATCTATTGTTATTTATTGTATTCGTGCAATAACATGAGCTGAATAAGTCATCCAATGAATTGGCAGGAATAATTGTCTAGAACGCATTTTTTTAATATGGCCATGACTGGCGTTCACGTCAGTGTTTGTTTGAAACGTTTCCTGACATTACGATAATACAGACAGGTTTTTTTGACATCTAACTTGGCATACAACTACAAATGATATTATCAAAGAAATCTACATTAGATGAAAACATCAACCTCCACAGATGTTTGATATGGTCTCAAAGCTTATTGTTAACGATTCAGCTTGTGGCAAACACATAGTAAACTCCAGTGTCAACCACCTGACCCCGATGACAGACAACGAAAAAATTCCCATCCTCATCCATAAGCATTTCTCTGTTATGCATGCAAATTGTCTCAGTCACAAAAGCCCACGTGACTTTCTTGAATTTTATCCATCACGGCGATTATTATCGATTTTATTCTTTTATTTTGAACCACACTGCACAGAACGTATACCGAACACAGGAAATCTGTTAGTATCGGTCGAGCCGTTAACGGCAAAACTGAATTAATCCTCAATACGATCAGTGTCACATTGTTGGCACGCAGACACGACCGATGTGTAAATGGAGTGAAAAAACGAGAACTCGGACCATTGTTTTTTTTTATGTTCAGTTCTCTTGCTCGTTTACACGCTTCGTTTGTTATTTTGCAAATCAGGTGCTTCTTCCAATACGAAAAATAATTATTCTCATGGATAACTAAATTTCCACGTTTTCTTGAAGGTGGCATGAAAAAGAAAATTAGATCCATAAACACAACCAAGTTTCAAATAACACGATACATGGAATTTTCTGTTTGGTCGAAGAAGAGTGAAACCGGATGCCATAAGTAGATTTACCGTTGAAATATTCCTGCCTTTTTTTGTGAGACAAAATTAACATTTTTGGCAACGGCTTGTCATCGTTTGACATTACATACCAATGATACATATAGTATTACCTTGGTCTACTTTAACGGTGGCCCACCAAATACTCGGGGATTAGACAGGATGAACACCTTTTTTTTTTTTTTTTTTTTTTTGAGTCGGAGTTTCGCGAATTAGAATCGTGTCTATGAATATTGATGGTCGATCTGGCGTTTTCGTATACTCGAATTCCAGGAATCGGGTACCATATTGCCCGTATAGGAATGCCATTTTCAAACGATCATCAAAAAGTAACGAAAAACAAAACCACCGTACAAGTACCGAATCACCGCTACCACTCGTCCAAAGCGCACCTAGAGAACCGGCTCGATGTTCAAACGCCACATCCCAATAACGTCAAGATAAGATCTCAAAGGTACCGTAAATCCTCGTTTCGTAAGATCACGCGCTCCTCGAGCCTCGATAGCTCTATCAATGATCCAACGAAGAAAAAAGAACCCTCCAGAGTGAATGGATCCTTCGACTTGGATCCTCCGGCGCGCACTCGAAGGAGGAATCTAAATTACGTAAGGCCAAGTATGCGCGCGTATACGTATGAATCGTTGCACGGCTGGAAAACCGGTTGGCGCCTACAATATTTCTCTCTCTCTCTCTCTCTCTCTCTCTCTTTCCCTCTCATTCTGTGGGTCAAGGCGAACCACCGGCTGGGCCACGCGTGCGGCTGTACGTACGATGCGACGGCAACCCGTGGGTTTTCGTCAGTGATCGACTTATCTGTGATTACGATCACCGCTGGTTGTACAACTGCAGTGAGGACGAATGAAGAGACGTCGACCACTGCACGCTCGTATGCGGATGGACTAGACGTCCCGAGCTATTTACATACACGCGTGTCGTACAGAGGATGGTTATGCATGTACGGGCTTATATTGTATGGTCAATGAGCTATCGGATGGACTTGGCGCGAAGCGCGTGTCTACTTTACGTTTACGCGTGTACTTATGGTGTACTTACCACTGTAATGCATGACATTTCAATTAGATGCTGGGTTTATCTGGCTGCATCCCATCACGACGATCTAATCGCAATGGCTCATTGGGATGAAAATTTGATGAGATTCGTCTTGTAATTTTGACAATTGTTTCGATTGCTGCTTTTCTGTAAATGAATGAAGAGCACTTTAAAGTAAATACTACAAGAAAAAAAAAAAAAAAAAAAATTACGAAGAAATTGATTACGGAGAATGAACTTACCTTTTTCTGTATTGCCTCATCACTTCTGCATTTCTAACGCATTACTCAATAAAATACTTTCATGAACAATCGCTTGACCAAATCTGAAAATGAAACACTTGACACCAAGACAATGATTCCAAATTTAGTTAACGCATGATTACCAAATGAGCCGCAAAATACTCGTCTCGAGTAAAACTAATTACAAAAGTGGAATTTAACCGCATGTGCGAAGACTGCGGTCGCACTAGGACCCCAACAGGTACGGTCGGCAGTTGAACAACGTGCAAGCACATGCAGATACATTTGTAAACAAGTTTAGTGTAGGAAAAATGGGGAAAAGTTTTTTTTGACACCTACTGATTATTGTTTCGCGGAAAGACGTGCTTGGACAAAGAATGGCAGCGAGTCATGGAAGCGGGGCGTTTGGAGAAAACTGAGATGTAGCGGACGTCTGACATGTCTATGTCCATTTTTCTTGAAGAGTCAAAGTCTATGCGGCAAAAGGTGTATGGTTCGAAAGCTGCAGTCATGACAAATGAATACAAATGAACTTAAATAATCAAGACGAACGTAAAGCACTCATGGTTCCTGTTCTTTTCTTTTTTTTTTTTGTAATTGCCATTCTTAGAAGAAAAATCTGCTTTTCTTATATTGGCTGTTTATTTTTTAAACTATAAACGTGTAATGCGCTTTTAAAAAAAAAAACTATGCATCACACAATTTATCAGTGTAATTCTTATGCAGTATGGAAAAAAGAATAAGACAAATTTATTATACTCATTAAAAAATATTTAAGAGGTGATTATTGACTATTAAAAATATAAATCAGTATTAAATGTTTTTTTGGCTCAAAACACGAGTCACTATACGTTTTTAAGAGCTTTTGTGTCATTCTCAATAATACATGCACGTCAAACTGATTTGAACTTCCTGTAACTCGAACGACTTAACTTTCTCTTCCTTTAATTTTCGTTGTCCTCTATCTCCTTTAACTGGATTTAAATTTACCCAAGGTTATCTAGAAAATAGCCTTAATAGGGCATATTTTGTGGAGAACTAGCCATAGGAGGTGAAAAAAAAATTTTGAAATGGAAGAAAATCTAAATAAATTTTTGAGCTTACCCAACAGGAATTTAAACCCGTAACTCGGTGAAGGTGTGTGGGTGTGCCTTAGGCAACGAAAAAACAACTCCTTGACTTTTAATACTTTTTGTAGTAAATGTAATTTTTAACGCATATGACTGTATTCATACTCAAACTGGCCACATCTTCAATCACTCCACGGCTAATGACGAGACGTTTTTATCAACAATCCATATCGAGGACCATGTGACATGACGAATAAAATTAACGTCCAAAATCCAATTTCTATAATGGAATTTTCCAATGACCACTAGATCGCCGTCCTATGAGATCTCAATACCGCACCACTGTTGGGCCCAAAGCAGTCCATTAGATACATAAATATTCATACGACCTGGTTTCTCGGTGGCCGTCCCAGAAAAACGAAACGTCGAGCCGAAAACTAGAAAAGAAGATGAGAAAAAGAAGAAAAAAAAAAAAAAAAAAAATCAGAAGCAGAGCCCATCCGTCTGGTCCTGGCGTCGTTTTCACCCAGCCCAAATACTTTCTAATACACACCCGTAACAATGAAGAGACGCAGCCAAAATGAAAGGGGCAGCCGAAAAAAAAGGCGTCACCTTGTGAGAGAGAGGATTCAGGGTAAGCAGCTTAGGTGGAGCGGAGTACACACAGCATCGATTGACTTAGGCAGTAAATATACACATGGCAGGAGCCGCTCCTCCAATCGTCGGTGTGCTTCTCCTCTCCTCCTACTCGCTCCCGGCAGCCACACGTGTGACGTTTGTTTAAAAAATTATCGAAAGAAAGTAATGTCTCTCTCTCTCTCTCTCCTTCTTTTTCTCTCGGCGACGCCTCAGATGACTCGTCCGTCTCTCCCGTGTCACACCCGTGCGTGCCTGTCCGCGTGTATGCGTAAATGTATGCGCGAGCGCGAGCGAAACCTTAATGGGCGGTTTTGTGTCCCGTGGGGAGGGGGCACTCGGCTAAGCCACAAAGGGGCGCCTCGACGAGTATAAAGTTCGAGGCTCCGCCAGGGCTAGGTCATACTCAGCTCCGAAAACTTTTCAGAGTAAGGTGTGCCTGCTTGTCCACCGGCTTACCTAACCGTCTGATTTTTTGGTGTCCCGTGAGAAGCTACGCTGCCTTTTGTCACATGTAAGGACCACAACGGAGTGATCGTTTGTTTTGACATCTCCTTTTTTTTTGCATTTTATTTTTTGTTCGACGACAAGTTACAAAGTGTACATTATTTTCTCACCCAAAGAGTGCTTCTGTTGGGATACGCGGGTATTGGTTTGAATTGTAATTTTTTTTTTTTTTTTTTCTTTTTTTTCATTTGTTACGTTTAGATTTTGTTACCAATTTTGAAGATTTTTATCGTTATTTTTGACAATAGTGGTGAACCGTCGGTTTCAGCTGACAAGTGTTTTGTATATACGTACCAAATTCGCCACTTGCTACGATCGTTTTCACATGGGACCGCAAAATTATTTGACCAACGGTGAACTATTAACTGTATGAAATTTAAAACTTCACTTTATTTCAATACCAAAATCTTTGTTTACAAGAAGTTAAAAAAAAGTTCGAAGATAAACCGGTGTCACCTTGAAGAGACCAGTTTCCGATCTAACAGTTTCTCCCGATTCCTCGTAAAATATTTAATATACCGTACAGATTTCGTGAATGGTACACACGTTTGGGCCGATTTACAGTTTCTAACGATCTGTAATACAATTTTGTTTCGTATAAGAAAAAAAAGTCCCATAATTTTTTGTTTCATCTAATGTAAAAATTTTGTTTTCCCAACAGATTGACTGACGCATAAATCGCCAAGATGCTCAGATACGTCGCCTTCGCTCTACTCGTCGCTTCGACTCTAGCTGGCCCAGCCTTCGAGAATACAAATCTCGACTGCTTGCACCACCAGGATGACATCTTCAGCTGCCTAGCTGTCAAAGCGGCCACGACGCTCGAAAGGGCGGCCAGGTCGGCTGATGTTACCATCATCGAGGGTGTTACTTTCGTTAGAGAAACACCTGGTGAGATAGCTATTTTTTTTTTATTTCTTAGATTCTTTCGTTGGAAATTTTCTTCATTTGTTTACTGCGTTAATAAATAGAGTAATTATATGGGATATATTTGTAGTACGAGAAATTTGTACTCTTTATCCAAAAATTGATAAAAGCACTTAAAATAACCACGAAAAAAAAAAACTAATTTATCATCCAAGTTATTTTATTAATGTATTTATTTATACATTGTTGAATTTTTTTCTCATTGTTTTGTATGCATGTAAGGGGTACATGATTACATGCCCATCTCATTATGGGCAACGCAGTCTCAAAAGATAAATTTTCATCCATCGAGACTTAGTTCTCCATCTCATTTTTTTAAACACAGTTAACAATCCTTTTATTTTACATAGTGTCATTTAATTTTATTTTGATCATTAAAATTATGAAATTTCGCAACAAAATACGTAATTGGAGCTTGCAAGCTCAACCTCCGATCCAACCTCTCGAAAGCTCTAAGCCGTGCCATTTTCCCTTTCAGTGGAACGCAGTGGAAAGGCCCTGAAATCCGAGACGGAAGTGTTGGCTGAGCTGCCCCGAGCTACCGCCGACAAGACCCTGGAATTGGCCACCATGCTCTTCGAATCTGCAGTATCGTTCTTCAAGAGCCACAGCCTCAAGATCAACATGCCCGAAGGCTCCGTCTCCCGCTCCCTCATGGAAGGTGCGTAACTTAATCGCACGTACTTTTTAAACTTGAGTCGCACTACACCCGTCCAAAATTATATTTTGCAACACTGCTATTCAATAGATTCCGGAATCGATAAAACATTTTAGTCGAGTGTACGTAAACATTGAACCATCCCGATCGGTAACGCTCCTTGTAAAAAAAAGCTCTCACTTTCAACATTACGCTCGACAAGTGCCACGTTTTCCATTTTATAATTAAATATGATGTTGCGTCACGGGACTTTTTGGGTCATTGACGTCACTGGGCGCGCCGCTATGATCGCGGTAATGTTACTTTCACTCTGCAACTTTTTTTTTTTTTTTTTTGTATCCATAAGCGTCCATTGAGAACTTTCTTTTGCATCTTGACGATTCACTCTAATAACCATCGATGCGACTTAAACATTTGAAAAATCATATGGATCCACAGGCCGTGCCAAGATGAAGAAGATGTTCCTCCCTGTGGTCGCCGCCATCGGTATCAAGATCCTGGCCCTAGTCCCGATCTTCCTGGGTGGTTTGGCCCTGCTCGTCGCCAAAGCCCTCGTGGTCGGTAAGGTCGCCCTCCTCATCGCTGCCGTCCTCGGCTTCCAGCGCCTCTTCAACGGCGGCACAGTGGGAGCCCTGCCCAGCATCGGTAGCGTCTTCAACAAGAGCCCGTCCTACTACGAGACCCAAGGCAGCTGGAGCTCGAACCCCCAGCCCAGCCCGTCCCAGGGTTACTACAGGAGCTTCGACGACAAGGTCGATGCTCAGAAGCTCGCCTACTCGGCCCAGGCTCCCAACGAGACCGACTAAGGATCTTCCTTGGTTGGGGCGTCGTGGCCCGCTGATGCGCTGCAGGTAGCTTTCGTCGACCCGGAGTGCAGGATTATTTATTTGTTTCGTGGGGCTCGGAAGCGATTTGCAGCGTCTGTACAAAGATATACCGCTAGCGATGGTCTTGTCTTCCCGTGGAGGATGAGCACGCATCGCGTGGTTACACGCGTCCAATTTTATGTGTTGCGACTGTTTTATTTATTTCATTATTTATGACTTATGATTGTAACGAGTTATTTATGCCATTCATCAGCTGAATCATCGCAAAGAAATTTTTTAATAAAATTTTATAAAATTAATTATCGAGTCTTGCTGCTTTTTTTCTCCAATCCTTTCAATTTCCTTCCGTTTCCCTTGGAAAATGAACCATGGCATAGAGAATACTAAGGAGAGAGTTATCAATAAAAAAATGACATTCCCATAGGTGTTGGAGCAACACTTTTATTGACTAATCTTACTGATATGTGATGTAGCACCTACGAGAACCTCTGAAATGAATAATAGTGAACTTGATCTTTTGAAACCAAAAATATTTATCGGAGAGAAGTAAGAAATAAGAGAAAATTTTTTTAAATTAACAGCTGTGGACTTGTCAAAGAAAAAAAAAATGTTTAACTAAGGTCCTTTTATCCTATATTTTCTTTACTTGCATTCTAATTTTCATTATTTTAATAAATAGAAACGGTTACTCAGGAAAGTAAATATAACCGTTTAATAAGTACGACACTCTATTACCAGATTATTAAGTAAAACAGTGTTTATAAAGATTCCCAATTTTTTTAGGACCCATTATTTTTAATTTTAAAAAAGTAAAGTGAGATTTTTGAACTTAACTATAATCAGATTTCGGATTTTATTTTTTAAAACAATTTTACCATTTGAGTTCAACAGATGTTTAAAAATGTATTCAAATAGGTTGGTGTTTTAGTATATTTTGGTACAATTCTAATAATAAAAATAAGACATAATGTTTTACATCAAATACAAAAGCTTTTTTGCAGCTGTCGTATTATCTAAACTTGGTTTCTAAGGGGATGAAATACATGAATCAGCTAGCCATATCTAATCCAACATCCAATGGTGTTGTTGCCCCTATCAAAAGTTTTTAAGTGCATGCAACAAGATGCTAAAATTTTTAAGGTTTATTTTTAATATTTGGTCTATGTAGTAATTGTATCATTAAACTGCATTTTTCATTGCTTTCTCTAGTGGAGTAACATACATCATACATCCCTTTGGATAAAATAGAAAGAAGCTAAAAATACATTTTTTTAGAGTTCAGTAAACATAATTTATTGAAAAGTCATGTAGTTGTATGTAGTATCGTTATAATGCAGGTATCTGCCATAAATGGTTCGAATGGCAGCATACTGGCATCGTTCTCGTGCAAAGTGTGGAGTTTGAGATACGAATTTAGAAATTTTTAAAATAATCATGTCAGTAAAAATGTCAGAAGGATATTGTAGTATTAATATTGTGAGACTTTAGAATGCTTATTAAAAATAATTAATATAATTTTGGCTATTTATGGAATACATTTTTTTTATTTTAAATTTTCTACTTTCAGGTGTTAAATTTAGTGTCATACTTGTAGTGTTGTCTCTATATGTCTTTAATCATATAGACACATGTGTATAGTTTTAAAGAAAAAAAATTCCTGCTTCCCAATATAGTACCTTTTCACTTGTGGGTGTTTACGATTAATTTGTATCCTTGGACACAAACTATTTTTAACAAACTTGTACATCTGACATAATAACTATAGAAACCTGAGTTGCTAGAAACTGTTACCATATCACTTAACTTGTGTTTTATTTTTAAGCGTATGTGCAGCAACATATAAAATTTGAGGCATTAAGTGGCATTTCTCGTATTATCAGGGTGTAATTGATAAATAAATTAAATTAATTTGATACTTGGATAAAAAGATTGAGCTATAAATCTTCAAAAAACAACTTATAATTTTTAGGTACTTCAACTTATTTCACAAAAATACCTATTTTTACTAGAGAAAAATTTGTAATTACCAGACCACCAATAACAGAGTTGTAATCAATATAACTAAAGCATACAATTAAATTTCCAGCATTTACTCGAAGTTTTCAACGCAAATGTACTGTTACAACCAGCTAATGATCAAGGCTTGTATTCCTCACTCGCGAAACAATTGATACCGTTTCACAAAAAAGAAAAAAAGAAAAAAAAGCAAACATCCTCGTAGCTAACCCAGTGGCCCGGCTTTAACGCGGCCACGCACTCGAAAGTGAACCTCGATAAAAGGAAAAACGCCGTGCCCTGGACGTCACTTGTAATGCACCAGATGTCCTTTCCCCCGTAAGAATAATAGACTCGCGAAATTAACATTCTTATCGCGGAGCTACTGCGTCGGGGCTCTCTTGCCAAATGGTTCGATTCTTAGGTCGCATTCGGAGCCCCACCCGCGCTGCACTCGAATAAGCCGGTCCGTGTCTTCCGATGGATATATAAAAGATAAAAAATGGCCAGGTAAGCCAGTGTCGTCCAAGTCGACGAATTGTCGCAACGACACTAGCTCTCATTAGACCATTAAAAGTTGTCGATTGCCACGATTTTTGGTGCTTGGGATCGGCATCGCGTGACACTGTGAGACGAAGCAAACATGAGAGTAGTCGTTGGGATCATCAGCTCGCTGGCGTGTTGCTGCTGCCTAGCGCTGGCCAGCCCGACGAGGGAATCCAACGCTGAGAAGTTCGAGGGGAAGCTCGTATCCCTCGTTGATGAGCTCAATCAAAAAGAGACCATTGGTCTCTACGGCAACGTGGTAACATTAGAAAGGTCTGCGGTCCCTAGGGGTGGTGAGGTTGATCAGAGCGAGGTGGACCCATTGGTCAGGAGAATCGATGAATTTTTGAGGAGCCGTAGACTACAGATAAGATTTCCGAGCGATGGTTCGTCAGCCGATTACTTTGGGAGAGCTTTGGGTCAGAAGGATGTTAACTTCGAGCTCAGAGGCTTGGTACATGGCGCATCAGAAGGTGAGGGATGACACACAAATTTTTTATTTATAAATTTAGTAAATTGTAGATCCACATTTATGTGTATGTTTCATAATCTTTGGTCACTTTTAAACAATGCACGTAGATTTCGATATTTCTCTACAATTCTCTCGCACATTAACTGTAGTTTATTTGTTGCAAACTTGCGTGGTTTAGTTGGTAATAGAATCAAAGTCTCGTGATTTAAACCGATCGTTCAGTTCGAAGTATCTGCAAACTATGGTTTTAAGTTGGCACGTGGTTAGCAACGTTCGTTATAAAATCATATGAGTAAAAAAATTTAGCAAAAATAAAAAGGTACAGAAATATGCCTAGTATTTTTTTTCTATTAAATACCAGAAAAAATGTGTAGGCTAAACATTAGAACACAATGAGTAGCAAATATAATCATGTGATATATAATCATAACACTATTTTTGCCAACTGCCGGTTAATTTGATATAAATTTAAGCACAAGCTTTAACTCTATACGAACCATCTTTATGTTCACGTGATTCGAAGCAACTGAATGCATCATGTACATATTTAATACAATCTGCGTTTTAAAAATTCATTTTTTTGTTTGTATCATAAATATGTCATGGAAGCAATCGATAGTGTATTAGTAGTAAATATGACTTTTAAATAATTAAATGTATTAAATTGTATTGTAGCAACTACAAAATTTCAATACAATAGATTATATTAAAAATATCTTTTTTACGTTCATTTAAATAAAATTTATCTAATCATAAAAAATTAAATGAAGCAAAAGCAAAAAACATAGCAGATATAAAACAGTAAAAAATGAATTTTTATTGCTACATGAATAATCCTGAAAAATATAAGCAATATTGTTTTTTAAGAAATTAGATGTATACCAGGTATGTTAAACTTGCCTTGCACGTACTTTTAATATCATCATTGTCCCTATATTATGTAATTATTATTTATTTAAAAATTGTTTTATATTTGTTATATAATTAACGTGCATGATAATATGATGGTATGGCCCACTAATAGATGTCTAACACGAAATTTTTATTCTATAATTTTGTAAGAGGGGACTTCACTTACATTAAGATGCGTTGAATCAAAGTAGGAACATTAAAATTTATTTTATACACACATATTTTTTTAAATAATTACTTTTCCGCTACAACACAATGTAGATATGATTAGTTTTAGTTAATCGTAGAACAAATATAAGTAATTTACTTACACGACATTCAATATTGAAAAAAAAAGAAAAAAATTAATTATTAACCAGTTCTATGTTAAATTTTAGATTTTTATTATTAATCGTCGTGTATACTCTTATATTTATACAAGTGCTACTGCTATGTACATCCTTTTTTGCGATAGCCATGAGTTTGATAGTATGGTGTGTATGCCCAAAAAATGGGAAAAGGAATTGATTCAGTTTATAATAGTTCTATTCATAATACGAGATTTTGTATACCCAAGTGATATGGCAGCAATGCATTCATCATAACAACGTACATCATTTACTTTTCCTCGTGTATAAGAGTCATTTTTTACTGTAAAATTAAATTCAGCACTTACAATACTAGCCTAGTAAAAAAAAAATGAAATTTTTTTTCAACTTGTCAAAAAACAATAACTTTTTTCTTTATAATTTATACTGAGTTTTCATTATACTTATTATTTTCCATGTATGAACACAGGTTACGTTGAAACGTATCTTATTCTGCTGAAAAATAATCATATCTCTCTATTATCAACCCATTATTATTAATTTTTTTATTTCACTAGTTGTATATTTTTTAGTTATTGCACGGTTTTAGTATTTCTTTAGCTCACAGTTTATATGCACCAACTTTTTAGTACATATTAATCACATTAGTCGTTTTTTATTCAATTTTAGAAATACTACATTAAAAAAGTATAGAAGATCAATTAATAAAAAAAATAATAATAGATAAAAAAAATAGTAGAAAAAAAAAAAATTAGGTAGTAACAAAATTTTATATGAAAAATTAATGTAGCAAAAAAACGACCCAATATTACAAATAAGGTATGTAAGTATTAATAAATAATGCCAAAAAAAAATTAAAGAATGTAACAAAAAGATGCTAATTTTTATATGGTTGAAAATTTATTATTGTTATTCTGCATTATTCTGCATAACAAAAAAAAATTACTGCAGCTAGTTTTTACATCTTTGTATTTTTCATCATTTTATGGCTATTGCTTCAAATGCTCGCATTAATACTAAATCGTAAGGTATAACTACTTAATTTCTATTATGAAAGCCCTGTTGAGTCTAAAACATTAAAAACAGAAGAATTATTCTTAACAAGGAAATTATTAACCAATTTTATTGGAACAAGCGTTATTCTTCGTTATGTTGTCACAATAAAAATTTAATCTATTTATTTTATATTTAAGAAATAATTTGTTGTTTGTGTACAATTTCGATTTGTTTACAACTATTATAATGCACGTAAGTAACAAAATTATTTTGTGAAGGTTCAATTTTTACGTAAATGTATTATTTACAGAATAGTTGTTATGAAACTTTAGATAAAAAGCTTGCAACGCACAATTGTAAAACATAAAATCAATCTTTAAGTATTATTATTTTATTAAAACCATTGAAAACAGTATGACTTGTATACAATTTTACAAAAGCATCATTACCAGCATTAAAGCTTGTGTATTTATAAGAAAGGACGTAATACTGAATTTAAGTAAATATTGTAAAGGGATGTTTCAGGATTATTTTAAAAAATTGAAATAAAAATCGGACCAACAGTATGAGTGGTAAGCCAAAAATCCTTTAAAAATTCTAAGGTAGCTTTTTTCGCACGGCGTTTGCCCATCTCGATGCACGAACGAGAAGTGCGAGCGGATCTGGACGTGCAGTGCGATTTTATAACACTGCTTCTTTTCCACTCTCGGCGAATCCCTTGAAAGTAGGTCTAGTCCTCGTGCCTTCATTGGTTGAAATTAATCGGAACAAGAGTGTATATCCTCTTATATCATGGTAGCTGCCTCCTACTATCTTTGCAGATTTCTTGCTCAGCTTTTTTTTTTCTTCTTCCCATCGACGCTTATCCTACATTCCTGGAGATATGCACTTTCTAAGCATCCATCACACCCATGATCCCGTATTTGAATTTACATTCCTTTACCTCACCATAATTTTAATTTGAATTCTTCACAGTAAACTTTTTGCTTATCAATTTGATTAGTTTGTTTATTGAAAAATGTATCTCACTGCTGTTATTTTTTACTCAATAAAAATACCTGGTAGGCAAAATAGTTTTCAGTAAATAAACCTATAAATAAACCTAAGAAATTGCTGTTAACGTGTCATGGGGATCAGTAGAGTACTTGCCAAACGACTTTGTTATTTAAGCAAGTGCAAAATTAATAAATATTTAATAAAGCTCAAATTAGCTAAATAAAATACTCTATTAAATAGAAATTTGTATAAAAAAATTATAACACACAAAAAAGATTATAGTACGTCGAGAACTTTGAATAAAAAAAAGTGAATGAAATAAAATGAAATTACACTGTCGAACGAATCAATTTTATACCTCAAATTATTAAAATTTTGATTAAATTAGAAACAAGATCCCGATCTACATGAGTTTAAATTTTAACTTAATAATTTAAGAGTTAAAGCTTTGGAAAATTTAAGGATCAGTCTTATTTTTATTAATTTTAAAAATGACTTTAATCTCAAATCATATATTCTATAACTTTCATCAGGCTCTTAAATAATTATATGGCATCACATTGCTTGAACTTTTTGTTTAGAGTTTTATCAAATATTTTTTGAAACTTAGATGTTGAAGCACGTTATAATTAAGAGTATTTAATTAAAGACAATTGTTTATGCAAATAAAGTGTTACAACTATCTCATGAACAAAAATTAGATCAAAAAGTATATTTATTGACCGTAAGTCACTATAAAATACAAAATTCTAATTAAATTATTACACTTACGATACTTGGGTAGTGAATTGTTAAAGCATTTTTATGTTAAACTAGTGATGTTCCATCAAGAGGTTTCTTTTTTTATCTAATACGAATATTATAAGACGATTCATATTTACTCATAATATAAATAAATTTTAAATCTGAATTCCCTTGATAAATTGCTATTTTTCAATCAAGAATTCATGTAATGCTTTCGTAAATTTTTAATTAAAAGTTAGGCTAAAGAAACTCTATACTGTTTAAAACATTAATAGATATGATGAGTTAAATGATAGCAGTGTCTTATACTATGCATTAATAAGCTTATTTAAAGTTACTAACCACATGTTGAAAAATTTTTACGGAAAACCTACAGTTTTCTTGGTGTACATATTGCTTTTTTTTTTTTATTAACTTTTATACCCTTTCTTAAGTAAATTTAATAATTAAAAAAAAATTATCTGACATACTCCTAATAATCAATGCACGTGTTTAAAGAAAGAAAATTAGTGATGTCTTTGGTATTCACTAAGATTTACTCAATCATTAATAATAATAGTGTCAATTTTTAACACATACAAATGAATTACATTTGTAATAGTTTACCCAAATATTCGACCAGGAAAAGGCGACCTATGTTCAGGACGACCTATGTTTTTTATTTTTCTGCATGATAATTTAACCAATATTGTTAACAATAAAAAAAATAAACCCTAGGAATAACCATGTATATAATATTGGGCCGCATAACTCGTGCCACTTCCCAGAGGTCTGTATATCCGTATACCAACCAAAGGAGGTCACCTCCATGTATATCACGTCCGCGAGAAGGATGTACACAAACGAGAGAGTCAAAGAGAGAAAGAACATTTTTTGGTTATCTGGGACGTTCTAAGGCCGAATGGTGGGAAAGCCGAGAAGCTGGTGAGTGGGAGACCTTGGAAAGAGAGTGTGCCCAAGTACGAGGAAGGAAAGTAGGCTCGAGGACACCTAAAGATCTTCTCCCTCTCTCTTCTCGGCTCGTTTCTCCTCCTCCTCCTCCTCGAGGTTTTCTTCTCCCTCGACTCTTGTTTGCCACCTCCACTTTTTCCTCTTCTACTTTCCTCGATGGAGTTTCTGTTCGTCCTCTTCGTCATTTTCTCATTCCATAAACGCACTTATCGAAGATGAACACGACCTCCTTTTATTTTATTTTTTATGCCGAATGAGTCGTGCATGTGCTTGGGAACAGGTCGTGATGAGCATACTTGAGTACACACGTGTGGGTACATGGACTTTACGGAGAACTACTTTCTCTTCTTAAGGGACTCGGACGATGTTTGCCTGCGTCCATGCCTTCGAGGTGTATCAACGTCGGGGAACAATGAGCTTTCACTTTGAAAAGAATTTCCGTAATTGAAATTCATTGTTTTTGAGGAAGACGCTTTGAATATTTCCTTCATCATTTCCTTAAGTTTCAGATGGTATTTCCTACCTTTTTTTCATCGTTTATTTATTTCATCAATTACTTTTTTCTTGCAACAGTTAGTCAGTATCTGGAAATTAATATTAAATTTTAAAATTTGTATAATTTGTAGGTAGAGCATTGCCTGAACATCATTTCATTATTATTTCTTCATTCATCGTAGCATAAAGACGATCCACTTGCTACAATTGACGAACTAGCAAAATAATTTGTAAAAGAAATATCGGCCTCAATATAATTATACGAATAGTTAAGATTATTAAACAATGTGATAAAATGACCCTGTAAAATTCAAAGCTGCAATGTTTGAGAATCGAGAGGGCTACTAAAAAATGTTCTTTATTTCAGCCCGAACAAAGATAAAGCGCATTCTCCTGCCGGTACTGCTGGCTCTCAAGCTCAAAGCTATCATCGTACTACCAATCATCATCACCATGATCGGTCTGATCGGCATCAAGGGTCTGGGTGCGGGTGTCCTGGCCCTTCTGCTCTCCGGCGCAGTTGCCCTCAAGGCTCTGCTGACGCCGCCAGTTTCGTACTCCGCTCCAGCTCGTGTTAGCTTCGCCAAGCCCTACGAGATTCATCACGATCATTGGCACCGATCTCAGGAGGAACAACTCGTGAACCAGCCCTACCGTGCCTGGAGTCCTGAGTTCAGCATCGATCCTCAGTTCGTTCCTTACCAGGATATTCCCTGAAATGTTTGTTTTAGGTGTAACAGGGTTTGTTCTCGGCGACGATGAGATTCTCGCGTGAATGATTGTGCTGGAACTATTGAAGTTGAATCTGTCAAGGAATTTATGACATTTCTGTTTATTATTTTTTGGTGTATTTTGGAGTGGGAAAATATTGGATTTTTCACCTATGTGTATGTTAGTATATTTATATTTATTTTGTGAGGGTCAAGCAACTGATTGATTGAAAGAGACAAACGTGTATTTAATTGGGTTTTATTTATTAAAATGAAAAAAATTAATAGAGGAAACGTAAGTGTTGTTCTGTCGTCTGTATGAAATATTTGTTAATAAAATTGTATGTCAAATGCTTTCTGAAACAAACTTGTGTAGCTTTAAAGGAAGGTTTTTTTTCAACTGTTCTTGTAGATTGTGAAACTTTGAATATGTTTTTAAAAAAACTTGTGAGAAATACAGTTTTAATAATTTCATGGCTTGTTTCTCATTTCGTCGCTTAGTGTATGTACTTGTATTTATTGTTTATTGTTGATCCTTGAAATTAAAAAAAAAAAAAAACGCTCACTAATCAGAAATTTTACATGTATGTTCCAATCGAATTTAATTATGTAGTTGACGTGATCTCAATGGATGTTACTGTCACATATTTCATAATAATCTCATGTACTTGAACTACTCATTGGTTCAGCTATGAAATCAATACTCTACCTACTAAACTATGATAGTCAGCAGCTCAGTCGGATTCACTTAAAGAACTTTAATGATTTTTATTTTTTTTATTATTATTTTTTTTTTTTTAATGAACATTACTGTCAAATTTGTTGTATCTGAATTTAAAGTAAATTTGGTTTTTAAATCTAAGCTAGTAAATAATGGTTTCATCAGTTAATTTTATTGCAACGGTAAAGAAAACGTACGTCCCGAAGGTGAACAAGATTTCCAAATCTTTCACAAAACCCCGTGCTCGTAGATACACAATTTCCATGGGCGTAAAAAATAAGCGATCCTACACTCTCTTCATTAAAATTCTGTGGAAATTATTAACATGTTAGCATAAAAAAACAAGCAGCATCCGGAGGCCAAGTGTATACGTATGAAAATTCGAACCCAGCCATTCTCGTTCATCCAACAACCTTAAGCATGTACCAAAAAAAGAAGAGAGGCACGGCAGCGTGAATCCGTAATACGCTCGTGCACAAAACAATCGCACAGTTGTATGTATCCACAGCAGAGAATACAGCCCACATGTCGAACGGTATTTAAAAGAAGAGCACAAGGAGCTTCGGCAAAGAAGGCACCAACGCACGTTCAAGCCAGCGTATGTGTACCTACCCACGAGTGCACTCGCGCATAATCCCAATGTTGCATTTAATTACCCTCCCCCTTTCTTCCACCTTGTCTTTGTTCAAAGAATGCAGGTGCATACGGAAAGGTATAAGAAAGGAGTTGCGTTATACATCTTTTTTTTTTTTTTAATGCTAATGTGTACAACTATTACTGCGTAGCACCTTGTTTCGCCCGCTTGAATTAGTACGAGAAAAAGATACGGTTCAATCATATGTGCATACATGTTCCAATAACGTGAATGTTGCTAGTGAATATAATAATAATTAACATATGTTGATATAACGTAATTCGTGACCCAAAGAGAATAAGAGAGCCGAGGGATATGAGTATATTATAGAAGCTGATGACCCAGTTACTCAGGGTATCGTGAGCAAGCTTTTCGACGAATACAGGAAGAGGAGAAGGAAGAGGGTCATGAGAGATGATACAGTACTAGTGATAATTACGATTATCATCTGTAAGTGTGGGTGCTACACGTGACAGAGATGTCAGACACAGGTGGATGGTTTTTCCCAAAAGTTGCTCAGTAGTGTTATAGATTTAGGGACTTTTTAATTTAAAAAGGAGTTTGAAAGTCTTTTATTTTTACATCCATCAGTTGCTTGAGATCAATGTTTAAATGTGTTAAATTCTCTCTTCATATATAAGCTTATGTGTTTGTATTTATTTTACAAAGGGACAAATATCCATTCAAGGTATTTCTAGGACTACGTGTCAAAGCTTTTACCAACCGTTTTTCGCTTGTTGGTTAAGCATAATAATTTTTTAATACGTAAAGTACGGTATATCATAGTATTGTGTACATGTATTCAAAACCATTAGTTCACATGATGTACATTTAACCTTCTTTAAAAAAGAATAACAGAAATAAATTAATTATTTTGATTAAATTATTTGAAGTACTTTATCTATATACTTCTATAAGTTATAGATAGCTTAAATTATAAAGTTTCCCAGTAAATTTTTCTTTTTGCAACATCATTTTATGGCTAACGATTCCTTCCATGATTCGAATTATCAACTAAAAAATTACATTATTAATCATATCGACTAATATGGCAAACACTTTCCATAATTTATCGGGACAAATTGTGACGGTGCACGCAACAACATCAAAGAAAATGCGCAAAAACATGCCTCAATGCTCATCCTAGGACGCCAACGCAAATTCTCTTCTCGAAGCACCGTAAGCCAACTCCGCACTAAGACTCTTGTTTCAAGAGGGAGAAGACCAAGATAAAGTAGAAGGGGTACAGGCACCCGAAGAGGGAAAGGGAACCGGATCGCAACAGGTGGAATACTCCACATACACACGCGTGGGTTTTTGAAAGGATAAAAAACATGTAGACATATAGCAGCATATGTCGAAAGGATGAGGCAGTGCAGGTGATGGTGGTGTTGGTGGGGAGCCAGCTGGGAGGAACTGGGTTTTTGGGTCAGAGACCGCGGTGTGGGGAAGAACGGGCCGTCATTGGCCTTCCTGCCCCCACTCGAGTGAATGAAGGTTAGTGGGTCGTTGCCTTCTCTGCGCTGACGTACGCAACGGAGTGGCTTGACCTCACAGTTGGCTGAGGTGGAGGGGCCTGAGGATAACGGTACGGGTTGTGAACGGTACTCGCGTCGTCATGGTAACACCTACTGGTGGGGAGGTAGAGAGGCACTCCTGTCTTTTTCGAGCCCAGACCGAGTATTTATTAACTTGGTGAGTGCCAAGGTGAAGGCTGTTTCTGTCGCAGCCGGTGCTCGGCGAGTCGAGAGAGGCCGATGGACGCGTCCGTCGGGATTTCTTCCTCTTCTTCTCTGACTTGGCTAGCAGGCGAGAGACAGTTTGAGATTCAATAGTTGGATGTAAACGGCGTTTTGAAAAAACTGCTTGTTTTTCAAATTTTATCAATTATTTTTAAAAATCATTCGTTAAAATCTTTACTTTTTCATATTTTAATTTTTTAAACTGAACACGTTTTTCTGATTAAAAAAAAAATATTTTTCCCAAAAATTAAAACCTTCAAAGAACCCCTTTAAATTTAATACATGCAGTTGTTTTTTTTTTTATTTACTTTAGTAGGAATGTAAGTTTCTTTACTTCTCCTACATCTTTAATGTTTCCTATGAAGTATCTTAATATGTTTACAACTTTGTTCATTTTTCCGTACTCATTCGTAAAGATACAAACTGCTGAGTGAGTTTTGTATTTTTAAGAGTATCTGAAAGTATGAAGCTTTTTTGAAAGCTAAATTTTTACGTTGTTTGGTGTTTACTCAAGAGAAAAAAAATAGATCGACGATGCATTTCTTAAAACTAAATTCTTTACAGCGATATTATAATGTACAGTATATAATTGCACTAGTAACTAAAAATAAATTATATTTAGCTTCACTAGACTTTTATGCAAACTAAATAAGAATCAACTGACAAGATATTATGACGACTTTATTCTTAAATTTCATGTAGCACCTATGAGAAACCCAGGAGGGGAACAAAGCAATAATCATGTACAGTAAGATATAGTTGCAATAGGTATGTTCTATTCATTAAGGTATTAGTTTTATTTTTATTTTAATTAGATCTTAGACAACTTCGGTTACAGTATGTATCAACACTCCACTAAATTTTTTTACTGATCCATAACATAGAACAAAAATAACGGTGAATAAACTAACGCTTCCTACATTCAAAATAATTTATACTTTGAAGAGACAATCTTACTCAAGATCTACATGCTTTAATTCGACTCTTATCGAAATTTACGACACGAATTTAACACAGTTTTACTTATCACACTGACGGTTACACTAGTAGTATTCCAAGTTTAGTCAAAACAGAATGTTTACTTACGACAATCAGAGATCGTACGTGAGATTATTTTCAAAAACCAACTGAATAGACACAATGAAGCACAAGAGATACATCACTTTTCATAAATCACTGGACCCCAAGTGATCCCGCTGCCAGTACAGCATTAAAAATTTTCTCGGTATTACTTCAGCTTTCATGTATACTGGTATTTCGTGCTTAATCTTATCTTTTTCGTTTAGAATTAAATACATAACATTAGATTTGTATGAAGGCTTTGGCCGCAAATGCAAATCCACTTATCGGCAAACAAGTAAAAATGCGTTGTGTTACCAAGATGTATCATGCGATTATTGTAAGCGTGGTAAGTATAGAGTCAAAAAACGAAAGGAAAAAGATACTCGTTCTAAGAGCCTTGCACTAGACAACTCGCGCAGCTCCAATGTAAGTATGGTTGCCGACTTGCTGGTGTATATATTATTTTCATCAAAGCTGAATTGGAAAATAACTGACTAGACATATGACATATTAAATTGTTAAAAAAAGAAATTCAGTGCTGAAATGTATAACGATAATAAAATTCAAATGTATATCAAAAAATTGTCAGACAAAAAAAATACTTGTCAGACATGAAGAAGGACTGTTACAAAAAGATTTCACAATTGTAGCATTAACGAGTTATTTTACATTAGTTTTAGTATTTTATAGCGTTTGAAAAAATTTAAGTATTGATTTTTTGTTTATCATTATCAATATTTAACAGAATTTCGAAGATATTTCTAAGCAAATTAAAACATTACACCTGCAAAAGTGGCAATTCATATATTATCTGTATCATAGTTAGCATTACTAAACCATTACATTGGTTTATTACAATATCGTGATTTCTGCGACTTGGAAAGTACTGAGGATTCCAAAAAATTCTTAATTAAATAAGGGAAAAATTTTTGAACTATAGTTAATACGTACACATCTAGTTTAAAGTTTTGTTTTATTTATAAGGATCGTTATGTTTATTAATGGACATTTTAAATTTTTTGAAACAAATATATTTGGTTGATTTTTAATACAATAAGTAATAAGTAACTAAAAACAGCTTGTAATGACTTTACATATAGCATCAAGACGACGATAACCCTGTACATATCCAGACAACACTTTCTCATGCATATTAATGGTGCAATTTCCGGAGAAGATGATTTCCGATTTAATGCATCCTTGTGCAAGGAGCGTTAAAGCGTGTCGTGAACAAAAATTCGTACTGTCGCGCGATTTTCCAGTCTGATTTTAAGTAGGTTGGAGGCAGATTTTTTCTAACTTATACAGCTCGATGAAAAACAGTATAAAGACTTATTAAAAAGTTTCAGGTGTATAGGAAATAATCTCTGAAACTTACCGCTTTTTTTGATGTTATGAGGATATTGAAAGTGAAGGGGATATTGTTACTTCAGTGGATGCCGAGGTAATAAAAACATCAAATTATAGTAAAAACGATTTTTTTATGACTATAAACCAGGTCAGAATTTAAAATTTATGAATCAATTATTTTTACTTGAGATTATTTATACAATTTAAATTGTATTCTTTGAATTTAAATTTATTTTGGTGCTATTGTTTAAAAAATGTTCGATTCAATAATAAATTATCCATATTATATGAGGTGTCAATTAAAGTCAACAAGTGTTGAACTGACTATGGGACAACAAACAATCATTCTTTCATTTGTTATTTTATCCTAAATAAAATACTTTTTTTTTTTAATTGTGCAACTAGTGAAGCTATCAGGAAAAAAAATAAAAACTACAATAAGGATGATGATAACAAAATCGAAATTAAATAAAAAAAAGTTACTTCATTTTTTTTTCTAGGATTAGCTATTATAATAGTAACACTTGAAAGATGTATGCAAATAGCCGATGTTAAACGAATACCCTGAATGAACGATTTCACTGGAAAGTAAATTTTCTAGATTTTATGCTTTAGTGATAAAAAAATATTGTTGCTTATAGTTACTTTCTAACTGTGATTAATGTTTTTCTATTAATGTCTCAACAAATAACACAACATCGATTACTGTGGTCTTATTCATGCTATTTTAAAAGCATCAAAGAGACACACTTTACCATAGCCAAGAATAATTGTGATGCAGATTACCGCTCTTTCAAAAATTCAAATTGTATGAAAGAAGAATAAGTTTTTCAAACAAAGCACCCACAACCGATCTGTGATGATATTTGTATACCCATCCCAAATCTTCCAAGCATCAAACCCGAAATCGACTCTTTCACATTCACAATGGCACACCAAGACTCCCTTCTCCTCTTTATGCTTCAAATATCCAACGGCATCGTCAAACAACAGTAGGTTTATATGGTACCTTCTCCCGTAAAACCCATAAAAAAACCATTGCCAGTCAGCACGAATAATCGACTAGCTCGTAAATCAAGCGACAAGATGAAAAAAGACCCGCGTACCAGCCTCTCGGCTCCTCGAGCGAGATCTGGCTCGAATGTATATATTCCAAAGACAACGATCGGTCTTAGTCCGACTGTTTTTTTGTTAATTCGACAGAGATTCGAATTATCCGCTCTATTTGACTCAACTTTCTGTGCTGCGGAGCCGCCAGCACCAAGCGTTACCATTCCGATGCATGGCAAGTCTCGCCCCCTCCCTCTCGGATGGAAATACGACACGAGGCTTTTAATAGTGCATCCAGCGGGAAGGAGAGCAGAGTAGTTGGTACCGGAGCACATAGAGCAGCGCGACAGAGGGAGGCCAAAAGGAAAAAGGACTAGTAAGCGAGAGTCTACTCCATATATAGCGCCACTCAGCCCACACCATGTCCAGTGGCTTTTCGTCCTTTTCGCGGACCAGGTGTTGATTACCTACTCGTTTAATCTTTCCATTTTATTTAGATGTCGTTATAGTCGATTGGATTTATTGCTTATTTTGGACAAACGTGCATTTGTTAAAGATGAAAAGGGACGTTGAATTTTGGTGCGTTTTGCTGATAGCCATAGTTGTGGGGTGTGTTACGGCAGAGATCGATCACGGATCGATTGTTCAGAACATAGAGCAGGAGGCAAAAGGATCGTCTGGATTTTTGTCCATAGACAGTTGGAAGAACAAGTGCAGTAAATCGTACAGTTCGATGTGTCTGAAGTTTGATATCGTTTCGTTAGTCAACCGATTAGCAGAACAGGACGATATTGGTACGTTGTCACTTATCCTATGTTATCAAATAAGGATAATTAAACATTCTAAATCTTTACTTAAATAGTTCTTTTTTTTTATTACAATATCTCTAATTTTTTTTTTTTTTTTAAGTAACTCACGTTGTATGTTCGTTAATTGAAATATGATTTACATCGGTAAGGACTAATCGTAATGCGTTGTCCAATCAAGTATAAGATTTGTATTTTACTAACGGAAATATGACGATAAAATAATATAAAATAGTTCCCAGTATCCAAACAAATGCATAAATAAATAAATAAATTTTGTCAAGCTCCGACCTTTTTATCGAACTATGAATTTTGTTACGACACAAAAAATCCACCGTTAGCGTTGGCAAGATCACGAGTTTTTCGAAACAATAGAAATAAAAAATTTGAATACAATACGCTCTCCTAGCAAATACAGCCACGAGCCGCAATTAGTGCAACTAGAGCACACTCGAGAAACCAAATCTAGCCCCCGAATCTCGGTGGCAGAGAGCTGTCCTCAATTACCTGTACGAACTCGCTTCCATATATTATTTGCCTCCTACTTACTTCTCATTCATTTTTGGTTCCACAGGAATCCTGCCGAGCGTATCGGTCGTTAAGCAAAGGAGCACGACAACCGCAGCCTCATCCTCGGACGTCGTGGCGAATCTCGCCCGTGATTTTCCAAACGACGCCGAAAAGCGCGTGGATGCCTACCTGCTGAACAAAATCGGCACTTACCTGAACAGCCACGCGATCTCGGTCAAATTGTTCGAACCAAAGAGTCTCTATAAGACGACCCTTAAACACGTGGGGGCTACTGAACAGCGCCAGAGTGATGATTCTAAGGGGGACAACGCAGAGACTGGTTAGTTTCAGTACTTACATCAATTGAAATTGATTTTATATATGGTTATTGAAAGGCAAAAAGCAAAAAAGTTATTGCACATAATGTAAAAGTAAGATGAAATTATTGTAAATTTTTACTTGGGCCAGCAGTTTTTCATTCTTAAGCAAGCTAGTTTGAGGAAAGCCAAGAAGGGTTCTATTAAGGACCATTTTTGGTGATTACACGAAGTAGCTACGTATACTTACAAATTATTGGCTTTCTGAAGTTGAACAACACTGAATTTTCTTATTTAATTGAAAAAAAAAAAAAAACAAAAAAAAAACTGACATAATCAATAGTGCATCAAATATTTTTTCGCCAACACCTCACTAGTTTTTTTTTCGTTTCAATCAATATTTATATTTCTTTTTGGTCAGACTTTTGCCCCAAAACATTATTATCGCTAAAGCACGTGACAACCATCCCTACGTGATGGTAATCGATTATATTCCATCCCTATGATTCCAGCCCGTAAGAAGGACAAAGGGGGAAACGGCAGCATGATGGCCGGGCTCATGATGATGAAGGGCACGCTGGGCGCTCTGGGATTCGGTGCGTTGGCAATGCTGGCGGGCAAGGCGCTGATGACGGGTCTGATGGCCCTGATGTTGTCGGCCATCGTTGGTCTCAAGTCTCTCACGCACGGCGAGAAGAAAACGACCTACGAGATCGTCAGCAAGGCGGCGCCCGTCCACACCTCCGCGCACACGCAAAGCTCCGAGGAGCATCATACGGGCTACGCCATGGGCTACGGGAGGTCCTTGAACGACGAAGAAGTGGTGCACGAGACTCTGAAGGCCCACGGAAATGTGCGTGACAGGCGTGCACTTCCGGCCAGAGTACTATGAGCTTTCGTTTTCATTTGTCGTTCAGGTCGGAGGGAAGGATCGCTTTTTTCGACTGTTACAGGTGGCATGTACCGTTGCCATGTCTCCGCCCATTTACGTGATATCTACTCTTGTTTCTTTGTTTCTTAATTACCGTTTGCTGTAGTCTGTAATTCCTCGATGGGAAGTCCTACAAAGAGCTCACTGCGACCTGACACTCCTTATCGATTGTCTAGTTTTTCCCTAGAGAGTATCTTCTTTGTTTGCAAATTTTACATTTACAATTGTGCAATTTGTCTACTTTCTAACTTTTTTAGATGTATCAAGTAATATTAGTGAATTTTTTGACCTATGTATACACAAAATTATCAGTAGCAAACATTTTAAGGTAAATTTTTAAATGTGCACATCTGCACTTTTATATGGATCAGTAGACTCCTAATAACTTATATTATAGTATTACAGATACAATAGTAGTTTGAGTATTTTAAATATAATTATCAGTATTACTAATGTAAGAAAAGAAGATTATGTAACAAATAACCGAAACGATAATTACGTCAGTGTCAGTTTGCTTACACAGATAATATATTATCGTCTGAAAGGTTTCGAGGTTAATAAAATTACCATTGTCAACCGCAACAACTCGAAATATAGTGATAAATAACTAAGAATGCTATAAATAGGTGAACTGTAATTATTCATATCGCACATGTTACATTCAAATAATATCAAGTCCAATTTGAAAATAAATACAACTTTTAAAACAACAAATCAATTTATTCTTACCAAAAAATGCAATATGCTATTGTAAAAATAAAAAAAATCTAGTACGCGATGTAAAAAATGGAGCAACTAATAATAACATTAAAATTAAGCTATTTTTCTTCGTTCAAAGTAACGAGTGGTCAATTATTTTCACGATCTACTTACCACCACACAAAAATGCATCTGTAGTTTTTGTAGTCACTAAAAATATGGTCTTAAAAGTGACCAACTGTGCTCATTCTGTATTCCTTAGTTCTCCGAGATTTCTTCCGAGATAAACCCACATTCGTAATTACAATGTTCAAATACAAACACTGTTACTCATTATTTACGAGCGATCGAAAACTAGCCACTCTCATGTACATGCAAAGAAGCAGTGCGATTTCTCGCACCACACCTGTAATTACACAACTTGAACACATTTTTCCCGCTTCACAAGGAAAGTCCTGTCGCGTTTCCTGCGACCCATCGAGTTTTGCCCACCTTTCTCTTTTCTCGTCACTTTTCATCTTTGCGTGTTGCTGTTACATTTTCCCCACCAAATAATTGACACCAAGCCTCTGCATCTTCCTCGCTCGTTTGCTTCTATGTACAGTACAAAAAGAAAAATTTCTTGCATTGCGATAATGAGTCGATTGACACTGACATTGTGTAGAACAAAAGTATTACACAGCGAAACAATGGTTATAGTTGTTGTGGTGGTGTAGTTTGATTGTGAAGCCGCCGGAGTGCGGTTGGCTAAGATGTAACCCAATCCTGATATGGTATTTATTCATAGACTCAAGACAGAAATTAATTTCGTACTGGATAAAGGATTATTCGCCACTCTATTGTGTAAGCTTTCTTTTGAAGTATATTAAACAAACAAGTAATTAATTGTAATGTTCATATTTATTAGAACCATCGAACAAAATAAACACAACAGAAACAACGTTTTACTTACTTTTTTTTTTTTTTTTTTTTTTTTTTTTTTCTCATATGGAATTAGGAAAAAAGTAAAAAAATTAAGTAATGAATTCCATAAGGTATGGTGTTTATAATATAATATTTCAAACATTTTTATTGTATTTCTGAAAAAAGATGATACTCGATGAAACAAAACTACTTTGTTTTATCAATTTCTAAATAAATTTTAAGAGTAAAAATTATTAATTCATAATAACATAAAATTATACATTTACTGTATACTTCAGAACCAGAATTTTATATCGTACAGCAATTTTTTCCTTCTGATGACTTTAAGTTAAATAGTGATTATAATTTAATATTTTCTGCAAGCCATTGCTTTAATCATTAGAATATTTGGAAGTTACTTGCTCTAAGCAAACCACGTAATTGATCAAATCCGATTGGATTTTAAATAAAGAGACGCTACATGATCCGCCAATCTCTTGAAAAGGACATTGATAACAGTATGTCAAATGATGCAGTAAAGTAACTTAAATATTAAAGAATCAAACAACAAATTGTAATAACTCGAAAGTTATTACGTGGAATATCTTCAATTCACTTATAATTAATACCACTGGACTATGCGATTTATTCATTAATGAAAAATTTCTCATTCTTTACAATGAAATGATGTGATACCTTAATTTTTCTGAAATAAAGCTTATAAAATTTATTTGTACACGTCAACTTACTAAAAATCGCACAAAAATCTCTGACCAACTCAATACAAGGATGTTCCATTTAGTTTTGATTTCCCGGTTACCAAATACGTGATTGACGGAAAAGTAGGATTTGAGTGCTCGATTACAACAAAAGGCGTTTTAGCTTCTGCCTCTGGTGGAGCATCGACGATAATAAACCCGCGATGTCTTTAACATTGTGATTACGTTATTTCATTCTTTTCGTCCCAGCCGCGAGTCCGCCTTCGGCAACCCATGGCACAAGGGGGTAATCACAGTCGTGACCAGATCGCCGCAGAGTCCACAAACGACACAAATTCATGTATATAAAAGCCCCCGGTCTCGTCTCTACGGCAGCCAGTTCACCGCCATCGGTCCGTCAAAGTCAGCCAAAACAACGGCACAGAGCCATCGGATTCGAAGTCATCCTGATCGCGATTTCTCGTCCTACAAGTGCCACCGCGTTCGACCCATGTCTTCAGCGAAGTCGATACTTTGGCTGAGTTTCCTCGCAGCCGCTTTACTGGCTGGAACTCACGGAAATGCCATTCGAGAAGCACAGCCCCACAGCCCCGACAAGCAGGAGAGGTCGATCATCGATTACAGGATAAACGGCGTGAAAATCGACGTGAAGATCGTTTCGGCAGCGAACGACTCCGTGAACGTCGACGATGGCTTCCCCCAGTTTCCCGTTAAGGAAATCGGCCGCTGTGCGGTGGAGTTGTCCCTGACGTGCGTTCAGAAGCGGATAGCGCGGTTCTTGGACGTGGTGGGGCATTTGCCGGAGATCACGCTGTTTGGACAAAGTGTGAAGCTCGTGAAGCTGAAAGAGGTGCAGGCGGACGAGCAGAGGATGATCATGGGCGTGAGCGAAAAGATCGACAAGAGCATCGACGACTTTTTTGATACCTTCGCTCTGAGGATCACCTTGCCCAGGAAGAATGGCAAGAAAAATCAGATCGATGTCATGATGGATGATAAGGACGTTGTCGAGGGTAAGAAGATTTTTTATTTTAACTTTGTACAAAGTTTCAGTGGGTAGTTCCCAAAAAACTGAATACTGTGCAAAAACTTGTTCACCAAAGGTAATGAATAACGTTTTAGAATACGTGAACTAATTTTTTTACAGAAAAAATCTCGAATCACGTGGCGTCTTTCTATTATAATTACTATACTTTCAAAACATATTCGAATACTTTAGAGCTTTCAAAAATTTTTATGGAAGAAATGGATTTTTTTTTATTCATGAAGATGTACAATACATAAAAAATTCTTCACAAATATTTTATTGGTATTAAAATAAAATCAAAATACTTGAAAATTATCAAAAAACCTTTCAAACAATAAAAATTTATTTTATAAATAATAACAAATGTCATCTTCGTATAGTTCACGCTATCGATCTTACTATAGATTTACTGTTTTAATTGATTTTTCAAGAATAATGTTTTGAAAACTTAAAATCCCTTAGGAAGAGGTGGAAAAGGTGGTGGTGGCGGCAAAGGAGGCTGCAAAGGAGGTAAGGGAGGCGGCAAAAAGGGTGGGGGTGATGGCTGTAAGAAAATGATGATGATGATGATGATGGGACTGAAAGCAAAAATGATGGGTAAGTACTGAAATTATTGTAACATTCAAACGATTGTCCTCAAATGTAAATGTATTCTTTCGATTCAGGTATGATAAGCATGGCTGCAGTCAAGGGAATGATGTTTTCGGGAATGTCACTCATGATTACCAAAATGATGCTTCTGCAGAAATTCATGAGCTCCAAAGGAATGTTTGGAGGTGGAGGTGGTAGCGGAGGTAATGGTTGTGTTCATTTAGGTCATCATTTACGAAATACGCGAGGGTCATTGAAACATACTTATAACCACAACAGGTCAGCTGAAGGAGATAGTTTTACTGACCAAAGGCGGAAGCTCAGGCGGCGGTGGTGGCGGTGGTGGAGGTCACTCTGCAGGCCCATCTGACTCCTACGGAGCTCCTCCACCAACTGGTGGTGGAGGTGGTGGTGGTTACGATTATTCAGGAGGCGGTGGTGGAGGTGGTTGGGGCCGTAGTTTCGACCACGCACCCATGACCATCGTCAAGGACTACACTTTGGACGAGCCGGAACATGACCAGAGCGCTGCCATGAATCAAGAAGGCAAGTATTTATCCAACACCACGATAAACCAATTATCTTCAATTCAAAAAATAAAATCAATCAGAAAATATCAAATTATATGGACCATGTAAATTTTGTTTTAAAAATTCATAAATTATGGATATTCATGATTAATTTTTAACGTATACCGTGGGTCACGCAGTGTACGAACCAATGGAATTAAAAGTATTGTCAGAGGATAAAATGGATGAAGATCAAAGTTGGAGCTATACCACGGAGCAAGCGATTTCAGACCAGATGAAGGCTAGTCACACGATCGAGGATAGTAAAAAGGGCACGCAAAACGGTGGATTCAACACACTTTTGAGACCAATGTATGCCCAAGGATGGAAAAACTACGTGGCAGCGAGAAACAAGAAAACTGAACGTTATTCCAATATGAGGCAGTAAAATACATCGTTCAATCAAATAATCAATACATGTCTCAACTCTAAACTGCTTAATAAATAATTTAT